ATATAACAAACTTTGTAGATTGGTTTTCACCACTACTATATTATTTTATTTCCATTTAAGTTTGTATGATGGAACCTGTCTCCTGATCCTTTGTCTACCTCCGCTCCTGGTAGACCTCCGCTCCTGGTAGACCTCCGCTCCTGGTATACCTTCGCTCCTGGTAGACCTCCGCTCCTGGTAGACCTCCGCTCCAGGTAGACCTCCGCTCCTGGTAGACCTCCGCTCCTGGTATACCTTCGCTCCTGGTAGACCTCCGCTCCTGGTAGGTCTGCTCCTGGTATACCTTCGCTCCTGGTATACCTTCGCTCCTGGTAGACCTCCGCTCCTGGTAGACCTCCGCTCCTGATAGACCTCCGCTCCTGGTATACCTTCGCTCCTGGTAGACCTCCGCTCCTGGTATACCTTCGCTCCTGGTAAACCTCCGCTCCTGGTATACCTTCGCTCCTGGTATACCTCCGCTCCTGGTAGACCTCCGCTCCTGGTAGACCTCCGCTCCTGGTAGACCTCCGCTCCTGGTAGACCTCCGCTCCTGGTAGACCTCCGCTCGTGGTAGACCTTCGCTCCTGGTAGCCCTCCGCTCCTGGTAGACCTCCGATCCTGGTAGACTTCCGCTCCTGGTAGACCTCCGCTCCTGGTAGACCTCCGCTCCTGGTAGACCTCCGCTCCTGGTAGACCTCCGCTCCTGGTAGACCTCCGCTCCTGGTAGGACTCCGCTCCTGGTAGACCTCCGCTCCTGGTAGCCCTCCGCTCCTGGTTGACCTCCGGTCCTGGTAGACCTCCGCTCCTGGTAGACCTCCGCTCCGAATAGACCTTCGCTCCTGGTAGACCTCCGCTCCTATTAGACCTCCGCTCCTTGTAGACCTCCCTGGTGGACCTCGACCTCCGCTCCTGGTAGACCTCCGCTCCTGGTAGACCTCCGGTCAGGAGACAGGTTCCACCATACAGAGTATATGTAGTTTTTGCTAGATCTATCTTTACTATTGACTGTTTGCTGTTTATATATTGCAAGTAACCCTCTAAGCACCCTATTGTGAAATTTGAAGCCTGTTTTGATGGGTGTTTCGTGTTGCTTACGTTTTCTTTAAGATTTTACGTTTAAAAATTAGCTTTAACGTATGTCTGAACGGCGACGATCCTAAACTTGATCTTTTTTATCTAACGTCGGCCTTTTGATACGCAACATCATTAATTGAAACAACGTCAAATGGAATTTGGGCCAGAACCGGCCCTGCTTGGGGGTGGTCAATTGACGCTTGGGGTTGAACGGTTGACCCATCAAACTTTAGATTTTAAGGCACTATACCTGGGATACATTGGCCACTATGGGCCCTATATATAAGTTAACTGGTGATTCCTGAAAATTTTAATGTTTTTGTCCTGATTTTGAAGATACAGTTAATAACCAATTGCTTGGGCACACCGTGAGGCAGTTGTAACCTACGACATACTGTTTACACCTCAGAACTTCTCTTACAATCCCATATCACCTCAGCTGCCCCTGCAAAGACCGGTTTACAGTATCATTTACCCGTAAACTTATCCGTCGTGTGTCTTGACCGGTGACGACAAACTTCCTGAGCCTACCACCCACAGCGCTAGTGTCAGTTACAACTGGTTCCCCATGGTTTTGTTAGAGCCCATATAGAGTTATGTCAAGTGTTTGGGTTAACGGGTTAACATAGAAAAATCTCTGTATGATTATCGCACCTGCAAGACACAATACTATTACTAGCAGTTCATGTGTTAATACTTTGTGTGTAAACCATCATGCTATGTGGTACAGTTGTATAAATATAAGACTCAATGTAACAGGGGTTTTCATTCTGGGTTTCTTCCATAAAAGTTATGGATGGATTCCGCATAAAACTAGTCATAAATGCTGGGGTCTTTTCAAAAAGTGAATGATGGTTATGTAAATGGAATTGGTCTAAGTTAGGTTAGTTTCGGTTAGATTGTAATGTTATGTTATTATAGGTTCGGTTTGGTTGAAACTTCAAGTCCTATAAGCATTTTGAGAAAACTACTTTAGATTCAGTTGTTTCCTTAACTTCTGAGTTTTTTCACTAATGAGTTATACGTTTTCAAAAAACTGTATTTTATTGTATAAATTATAGTCTAATGAGTTTAAAAATAAAATAACTACTTAAAGTAGCGAAAAAAGTTTTACATGGTAATTTAATTATCAACAGGAATTAAATTTACACCAGAGTGAGCGCAATATATTGTTTTGAAATTGTTTATAGTCAAAATAGTGTCACTATAACTCATATTGAATTTTAAAATGGCGACTTAGAGAGACTAATAACAATATGCACAATGTAGCAATTGTAACATTTTTGTCTAAGTTTACTGTCTAGGAATCGATTACAACGAGCATAGATGAAGTATTATATTACTTCATCCTATGATACGAGGAAAGATGTGTGAATTTATCACAGTGTAGTGTAGGAAGACATAATAATTAATTTTGCGGTCGATAGGTGCATTGCAATTAAAATTATCAATGCTACTGTTCAAGTATCGTTTTTACTTAAAGATTAGTAAATTCGACATTAAATAGAATAGTTGCGAAGGAAAATTACATGTGAACGCGTAATCGCAGACTAAAAAGCCATTTACAACCACTTTTTATTCAAACATTTTTCGTAATAGAATAGCTTTTATAATAGTCTTAATTTTGAAGCTTTAACCAAACTAGAGGTATATTAGAAACCTGTGCAGTAATTGTAAGCTAAAAGTAAAAAACTCAAAATAAATTTATGGTTGGAATTGGAATTTAAGGGAATCCAGAGTTAAACCCTATCCCTTTACTGCTAGAGCTCACTAAATCTCTTCCAGTAATCCCACTTTATAGGTTTTTTGTTACTTTGCTGAATCCCAGTAATTTGTCTCAATAGAATAAAGCTATTTCTTTTGCCTCGTTTTTCAGAGTTTAATCCATTCGGATTAGAATACGTATGGAATTATTTATTAATTTATGTAGTATAATTCCTAATTCTTTATTGCATAAAGAAGATGCAAATATTAATTTAAAAAATTCTCATATCGTGAAAAGTCTTGACTAACAATTTAAAAAAAGAACTAGTGGCTTGTAGGGACCTAATTCCCTAAATTGCTCAAATGTAAAACAATTATTGTAAGAAAATTATAGGCCCTATTATCTATGTGTCAGAATAGCTATCCCTGTACATCATCTCTTTTGTGTACAAAAATTTTTGTTTGTCTTTGTCTGCTTTTGTTATAATTTGAATCACTCCAGAGGTTTAACTCTGCTAAATATGCAGCAAACATAAAATTGTTTGTGAATAAATACTGGTTTACTAAAGGTAGCTTTGGTGTTTTGTCTTGTAGTTAATGGTAATAAAAAGGCTTCTCTGATTGAAATTTTGGAAATTGTCTTCGTCAAATATAAAAAAGGCAAATAAAGGTTTGTTGAGCTAAGTCAAAACCACTAAAGCAACCCAACCCAGTTATTATTTCTATGTTTATACTCCTTTTGTAAAGGTTTAACAAAATTAGTGTAAACTAAAGGCATCCCATTGACCAAACTTTTAACCCTACATTTGTTTCTGATCAACATAAAAACTACAATTATTGTAAGTTTATGAGGTGGTATTCCTCCTAAGGTGTGATTGGACATATTGACACATATTCTATCAAAATAGGTCTAATCATCGGCTGATTCCTAAATATTTTGCGACTGGTTAGGGTTCCATTACACAGTTATCAAAACTAATAGGCCCAACGAAATTACTTTTTATCAGCATTGAATTGCATAGTTTTGGTTAGTCTAAGAAACGTAAAGAAATGGAAACTATCTCTAGGTTTTACTGTCATATAGGGCTACAGATGCTCTCTTTACTATATATACAGGGTGAATAAAAAGTAAAGACCCCCCTAATATTTTTTAAAAAAGTATTTAAAAAACTTTGAGTTATAAGTTTTGCAAAAGTTTTTTAGTACCTATACAGGATAGATTTGACATATTTTCAGCTTACTATATTTTTCAATTATTTACCTTCCATAAAACAGTGTTACTTATTTACTCATTTAACTTACTTTTTGTGAATTCAAGCAGATGGGACATCCTGAAGTAGTAATTACAAGATTTATTTGTCTTCTTCTTTTTTTGTGTGTTTATGGTAAAGAGTCCTCTGGGGGCCGTTCTAGGACTCCCTTCGGCCTTGGATAGGTAGAAGCTTTGACAGGCAGGTGGGGTGGGAATAAGTTAAAATATCCATCTATTTTAATATATATCATATTTTATATACAGCTGTTTTCAACCGATTAGAAAATGTAAAAAAAAGGGCTAACTTACCAAGGTTGTATTGACAAAAATGGTTGGAAGGTTTTAAGACTAAACTATTTAAATTTTGTATAATGCCTATATAATTAAAAAGTAACTCAAAGCGTTTAAATTTTTATCTTATGTGATTGAGAATTAAAACAACTACATGAATCGGCCATTTTAAACTGTCAGATCAATATTTTTATCTAAAAATGCTATTTAGAAGATGCTGGGTTATTATTTACTTTAAACAGTGCAAGTAAATTTCCTATTGTGAAATTTAATGCGGAAACTGTTGGTTGTGTCAATGAAATAACTTAATTGAATCATTGATTATAAGCCACCCAAGAACATCTTGGGGAAATATTACGGCTACCTTCAAAGATAGCCGTGGAATAATATTCAGGCTGATCTGGAAGCAATGAAGCTGCCTGGGCAGCCAAACCGTACCTAGCCTTCATGTTGGTTACTGGTTAGTCATGTTTTTTTTCGTTTTGTTAGTTAAGTTGTGTTCGTGACGTGTTTTTGTTGTTGACGTTGTTGTCAAACTGTTATCAAAGGAAGGCCTAATAGGTTAGATTTAGATTATGGTTTTATTATTTTGTCATAATATTAGATGATATTATTAGATTATTTTGTTATCAAGTACATACATTAACTGAAGTTTTATCTGGTTAACATTTTGTTTAGAAAAAGGCAGTCATATTTTCTAATCAAATTAAATATACAGTATATAGGCCTATACCGGTATATTTTTCTAACGAGGCCGTATTCTAGTTTAATCTGTTTGTCATTGTAAGTACTGTATTTATTTGATACTAGTTTGTACCCGCGGCTTCGCCTGCAATGGTATAACATATAACCATAAATATAATCATACAGCATTTAAGAAATAAACAGAGTAGGGTCTAGTCTGTACAATCATTAGGTACAATAATTATCTGTCACAACAATAAGTCATTATTATTTATTGCATCACACACAGTGAAAAATCATGTTACGATTTGTTCAATCTCCGACTAAAAAATCATGCAACATAAAATCTTGAAACCAAAAATGCCGCGTCTCTTCAGCTTCAGTAAGGTCTTTTCTAATACAGGTAAAGAAACAAGCTGCACTTTTTAGGTCCTACATTCATTGGAATGAAAATATCGATAGATATATCGATTAATTGATTGTTCCATTCGATACATCGTTTGGTTAGTAAGGTAAGGTTAACCTAACCTAACTAACCAAAGGATATATCGAATGAAACAATTGAATAAACAATATTTTCATTCGAATGAGTGTAGGACCTAAAGTAAAGTGCAGCCAAAGAAACATTACCACTAGAACAACACATTCCAGCAGGCTCATCTTTCCATTTTAATGCTCTGCAGTGTATACACTCTCTCTCCATTTGATATTTTGATACATTTTTTATAATTTGTGTTGTCTATTGTTTAAGTTATTGTTGTGTGGTATTCCGTTGCATGATTTTCAACGCAGCGGGGTGTGGCGTTTAATGCATTTTTAGACCGTTATTTTAGTCTGGTCCGCAGACTAAAACGGACCAGTGTTCTCCTAGACTTCCAGGGTGCGGACTTCAATTTCCTCTCGCACTCAACTCCTCGCTATTCCGTTGCGGACTACTACGTAAACTCCTCTAGAATGAGTCAGCGTGGCCCGCAGTCTGAACTCTGCTGGTGGGGTGCGGCATACGATTTCTAGGGAAACACTCTGACAAAGCAAAGTGTATTTTGTGCTCTGCGAACTCCGCAGGTTCAACACCGCAGCTAAGAAAACGTGCCTTAAGGTTAACATGGGAAATTCCAGAGCTACTGTGGCGGAGCCCGAAAGGATTTTTGAGATAGGGATAGTCTTATATGTTAATTAGGAATATGAACTATGATAATGCCAAATTTCAGCCAAATCCAACCAGTAATTAAGTTAATGTGTGATTGAACTTCAAAAAAACAAACAAGTACACACACAAACTTCCATTTATCATATTAATAGTATGATAGCCTAAGGTACTGTAGGCGTTTTACGTTAACAAACAGCAAATGAACTATGCAACTACTAGCAACAAACAAACTAGGCCCCCTAAGACCCTAGTTAGTTAAAATTTTCATTTTCATTTTTATACGAATTGAATACTTGCCAATCTTTATGAAAAAAATAAATTTTTTTTATCCTGTCGGTTACCAAATAGGTAGGCCTACTTATTTAGGACTCCTAAGCTTAAATGACTTAACTAAAATTTTCAAAACTTTGATGTCAGACTCCATTGTAAGTTAATTGTTCCGTAGGTATAAGATTAGTAGGCCTATAAGTAAGTTAGGCACGTCGCACACTGAGTCCGCTCAGTTCAGTACGCTCAGCTCAGTCCGTTCCGCAAATTTCAAAAATCATGTATTCAAATGTAGACCCGCGATGTGCCTTACAATCCCTATAGAATTTTGTTTTGGTTAAGTTAAAGTTATCGGTTCATTTAATAGTTATGTTTGATAATACGATAGAGTCGGATATTGAAGTTTGCCTCAATCTTATGATTTTAAAATAGCTAATGTCCACAAAATAAACAGTAAACATGAATATGATTGTTTAAATAAGCCAGGAAAAATAATAAACTTAGGCTTGTAATGTAAAAATGCAGGTGAATAAGTAAGTTATTGTTTACTTATTTTAACCCTCCGAGTGTCCCTTGTTTTGGCCTTAATGTCTGCCTATTTTTTGCTCATTTGCAAGGTTTTATTAAAACGGATCTAAAAAGCTTGAAAACAATGTTAATTATACTGTTCTATATACCATTTTGTTTGGAAAATCATGAGCTTCAATATTGTACATAGAACATAAGGAACATTTGTTTCAAAAAAATTTTTTAGGTAAAAAAAAAATATTTTGGAAAATTTTCAAAAAAAAAATAAGTTTGCGCTCAATGAAATTGTATAAATTATAGGCCTATAAATATTTGAAAATAGCCACTTTGTTCTACATTTTACGAGGATTACAAATATATAATAATATAAGGAAGTAGATTTGCAAATAAATAAGTTATGGGTAAAAAACAGATTTCAGTACATAGCGTTTAGCTAAGAATGCATAGCCTAACCATAGCTAGGAATCTGGCTGATAATTTACATCAATATCACTACCTACTTCTTCAGGATCATCAACCAGCCCTTCAAAATCACTTAGGCCTAAATCTTCTTATAATGCACCACGTATATCACTACTTTTGATTTTTAACATTAAAACAATGATAAACGTAATAAAACACATCAGTCATCGTTCCGAGGTTAACCAAGCTGTTTACAAATACGCACGTCAGCTGTCTGCTACAATATTTTCGGAACTAAAATGAATAGCGCTTAGAGACAGACCTCCGGAGAAAGCTCTGAATCTGTCAAATAAAACGATACCTAACTCGATCCAGTTCAATCCGATTTTGTCAGTCATAGAGCCTTCGCCGTAAACAGTGTTTGTGAGTCGCTGCAGCGACACAAAACACTACACAAAGTGTGTTATGTGTCGCTGCAGCGACAAATAACACTTGGAGGGATATAGATAAGTTAATTTATTAATTAATGTATTGGCTAAGCCGTTGGCAGGACCCATGTATAAATAAAATAAAATTATATATTCAACTGTTACAGGTGGTTTGATTAGGCTAATTGAATCCAATAATGAGTAAAAGACAGTTGCTGTTGCTTTCCAATAGTACAATGCATGGGTCTGGATACTTAGAGTATGCTTCAGATGAAATCAAATCTTTGATGTCAAGGTGAGTCTGTATGTTAGTTTTGAAGGTCAATTTTAGTATCTTTGCGTTTTGAGACAGCAACATCACCTAGGTGGATATTTGCCCTTCAAGATGAATAGGCCTAATTATTTTATATGCAAGATTAAATGTAGAATGGAATGAAATATGCCCAATCTGTCTGTCAATAAATAATCTGATCTTTGTTTCCAAGTTGCATAAGTTGATCCTTTAGCCCAGCGGTTCTAAAATATGAATCATGACCCCCCGGTGGGAGCAATTTTAGAGGGTCGCAGGAAGAGATAGAACATTTAAAATATTTTTGAATCCAAACTCGTAATATTTACAGCCTGAACAGCTGAGGGAGCACCAGAAAGAATGGTACCAAACGGGTAGCAAAGAACAGGACATTATACATTGTACTGTGATTTTATTATACAGTAGCCTATATTCACATATTTTCAGTAGTACAGTATTTAATCACAATTTAATGCCGTAAGGTGACACACATAGTTTAAGCTGTAAACTATATACTTATTTGAAATACCAAATGTTTGGGAAATCGTAATTTTTTTTCTTTTGTGTGTGGATTTAAATAGTTTTGGGGCGCTTTGTTCCAAAAAAAAATTCCCAGCGCCGTTGGAATCAAAATCAATTTAAGTATAGCCTGTATCCATTAGGCTGCACCTGTGGAGTGTGCCTTGGTACATGTTTGAAAGGACCTCCCATCAGAGACAATGTACATTACAGCAGTTGGCGAGTACTCTAGTTGTTAAGCACCCTAGTTGGGGAGTCCACTATCTTAGTTCTCCATTACAGTAGTTGGCGAGTACCCTAGTTGTTAAATGTATTGATGATGACTTGGATCTTGACGATGATTGATATAATCAATATTATTGGTTTTATTTTCTTACATTTTTAGCGGCAAAAGTGTAATTGGTACTATTAAACAAGTAATTTTGAATAATAAACCGTACTTTTCATTCTAACCCATTTTGTAGAACTTAAACAACTAATTTAAACCTAAAGCTTTGTTGTACATCTAATAGTTAAAGAGAAAATTTAAAAAGTAAATAGGCCTACACAAATTCTTGTCTTATTCTTAATTGGAGAATAAAAAAAAAACTGTTGCAGTTTGCTTTTTTATAGATTATAACGGTACTAAAACAGTTAATAGTTGTAGGCTTCCTGTCTCCAGTCTGTAATCAATCGCCTGAGCTCATCCAGTTAAGGCTCGTCCAAACCGGAGCAGGACAGCGGCGGGAATGGGAAGGTAGCGAGACAAATTCCCATGCGGGATTTTAAAGCGCATGATGATAAATGTAAGCACCCACACAAGAGCAGTACCACTGACGTCGTCCTACTGCGTTGTTCGATTTGGAATTTGAAAATGGAAATTGTTGGATTTTTCCGCTTGCTCCGCTGCGGGACCACATGGCTCAAATGCCGTTTTAGTATGACCTCTGTAACTGTCAATAACTACTCCTTGCCAAATAAGTTTCTAGTTTGATAAATTTCATGAAATCAAACGGACCGCTCTCTTGCAACTTCATCTTCATCCTCAACTGTTCCTAGAAGAACCATTTTCCTAAAAGTTCTTTTTCTCTGGTCTCAGATTCATAACTTGAACTCATAAAACACAATAATATAAGCATTCACTAAACACAAACATTTATTAGCTGTAAATGATCTGAGAAGTCCCGCATTTCACTAGCTGCCGCTATGGTGTGGTCTACCCCATTCCCGCCTTGTACCGCTGCCACCGCCCTTACTCGCTCCCGGCGATGTCACGCTTCAGTTTGGACGAGCCTTTAGTCTCCTATATAGCCTAATCCTGTCAAAACAACTAAATCTCATGGAAGAACACGTTGTTATGATTGTAGGCGTACATTAATTGAAATTTATTTCTTTACAGAAATAATGTTAGTAAAGTATTATTTATACCCTACGCACTCCATGACAAAGACTCTTATGAACACAAAGCAAGGAAAGGGTTTGCGAAATTAGGTATGTATATATGATTCTATTTAGCAGTTTTTTTTTTGTGAATCAGAATATTTGTTAGCGTATAAATTGCCTTGATAATTTTTGTTAGACTTAAGTTTGATACTAGAATGTCAAGTCACCTTCACCTTTCCTATTAAAGGCTCAATTACACAGGACAAGTTTACAAGCTACTTGCAGGTGAGTCGAGGAGTACACCAATTATCGAGTAAGCCTACATTAGTTGTTGAGAAGCTTATTTGCGGAGTAAACTAATTATCAAGTACACTAGTTGGCGACTACCGTACTTGGCGAGTACCCTAGTTGACAAACACCCTAGTTGGGGGGTACACTTACACTAGTTGTCCAGTACACTAGTTGGCAAGTACCCTAGTTGTCAAGTATGCCTACCATAGTTGTCCAGCACTCTAGTTGGGAAGAACACCAGTTGACGAAGGATAAAACATAGGTGTGAAATTCCTGTCATATGCTGACGTCATCCAGATTGCAAACACCATTTCACTATTTTAAAAAAATTATAAAAACAATAACAATCAAATAAAAACTAATGTATACTTATGTGACAGTCATGCGATTTTCTGTTTGCAATCTGTTTGACGTCAGCCTATGACGAGAGTATCACACCTATGTTTTTTTCTTCCTCCATGGCGAGTACACTAGTTATTGAGTACACTAGTAGGGTACCCTAGTTGTCGAGCACTCTTGGGGAGTTCACTAACGTAGTTGTACATTACAGCAGTTGGCGAGTACTCTAGTTGTTAAGCACCCTAGTTGGGGAGTCCACTATCTTAGTTCTCCATTACAGTAGTTGGCGAGTACCCTAGTTGTTAAATGTATACTGTTACAGACTACACATGATCTGTTTGACTACACAGTGATCTGTAGTTGGCGAGTACCCTAGTTGTTAAATGTCTACTGTTACAGACTACACATGATCTGTTTGACTACACAGTGATCTGATTTCCATGACATGTCTGTCAGTACTAATCCAAGGTATGATCTCCACACTCTTTTTTTCTAATTTTATACATGCAATAAACATTTTTTTTCATTTTGAAGGGATCAGTGGCCAAAATTGTAATGGTCAAAGTAGTGGGAAAATATGTATCAGTTTGCTTATAATGTTTATGTTGTTTGTTGCAGGTTTTGCCCTAGAGAGTATTCACAGGTCCAATGATCCTGTAGAGGCTGTTAATCAGGCAGAGGCAATATTTGTTGGTGGAGGAAATACTTTCAGACTTCTCAGAGCGTTATATGACAACAAACTCATTGATTCAATAAGAAATGTGGTATTGCAGGTAAGTCAGTGTTGTGACATCAAATTTAGTTTTGGTTCTACCAAATAGTCAAAGGTTCTACCTTGGTTTAAAAGATTTATAGCATTAATAATGCACCCTCGTGGTTATCTTCAGAACTAGTTTTTACTCCTAAGTTAATCTGTTGTCAGGTCTTAACTACTCTCATATTCCATCCCACAATTTAAACCTATTTCAGTAAAATCTTTGTGTTAAAAAGATAACTAGAATCTGCCAAAGGAATACAAAAAAAATGAAACATTTCCTTTGCTTACCATATGTTTTAACACAATGCACCGAGACAATCATCAATGGTATGTGTACAAAAGATAGGCCTATACATAGCCTAGTTGTAATGGGCAATAACTTGTGCCTACATTTGACTTCCTTTATCAACAATATCTAAATCATTATTTATGTATCATTAATCATTCAAAACAAATGCACTGTTCTATAATTTTACAGCTTTCATGTTTTGTCTAACATGGATTTACTAGTCCTGACTGAGCTTTGGAGAATCCTGCAGACAACTTGTATGTTATTGTTCAATTTGGTTAACAAACTGGTCTAGTAGAAGAGCGCAGAACTTCAGTCCCTGAGATCACGGTTTCAAATCCCGCCATTCACCAATGCATTTTATCTAAACTATAATGTTGTAAACCCCGTCTATAAAGTAATGTGGACAAGAATTTGAGGCTAGGACCTAGAAAAATATATGTTGAACTTTAAAAACACAAATCAAGGGTACTCCCTGTTTACAGCAAGGAACTCCCTACATGGGGGCGAGCGCAGGGACCAATGTGGCAACAGTCAATATCTGTACGACCAATGACATGCCTATTGTCTATCCTCAGTCTTTCAACGCACTCAACCTGGTCCCGTTTAACATCAACCCTCACTACATTGAGCCTGAAGCCAATTCCACACATATGGGGGTAAGTCCAAATATTGATTTAAATCATTTCTCTTATTAGAGTCCTAAACAAAAAGCCTATCACACAGTGTGCTTAATTGCAATTTGTGCTTTACAGTTGGAAAAATGTCTTGAAATAAATGGTTTCAAGAGATGTTAATAATAAAGATGCAATTAAACCTCGATAGCAGGTCTCTTATAGAGGCTGGCTATCAAATAACACTTGTTATCAAATGCCTTTAAGAGTATAGGAAAAGATAATCGTAAATGTCGTCCAGTATATTTGTGGTCCTGTGTCATTTTGTTTTCAGTACATAAGTTTCCCACCTATCCAGCTATCTTTCAACCAGGTATTGATCTAACCGGTTGCACAGAGAAGTAAGATACAGAGGTAACATGCTTATGGAACAAGGGAGCGCTTTTAACTCGGGAATGGCGGAATATCCTAGTACCAAGCCAGGAAGAGCCTGAATGACTATTGATTACAACAGCAGTTGTACCGCACAGGCTCTTCCTAAAGCGTCAGCGTGTGATGGTACGTGATGGTGAGGGGGGAGATCCGGAGAACGGAAGGGGACGACTAATAGAATTTGAACTAGACACATGCGACTGGTGCTAGACACGACTTAAGTGTACCATTCATGGTTTCATCTGTATCTTACTTCTCTGTGCCGGTTGTTGATATAAAAAAATTACCTCATTAACTGGCCTCTTTTCAAAAGACATTGTTTAACCCTTTGTGATCAGACAGAAATGTGTAACGGGCTAAATATGTAGGGGGGGTAAATATTCGTACAATTAATTACAACGAGAATTTAACAGCCAAATATTGGCTATTGGACAAGCCTAGTTGCGACGCTAAACTGACATCATACCTAACCTCTAAATGCAAAACCGCAGACGAAGTCAGTGTCAGTTGGTTGTTGGACAAAGCTTGGGACAGGCTCAGGGAGAAAAAGGTGGGCAGGCCACCTTTTTGTGATTTCGGCGCTTGATTCAACGGTTGGTGCCTGCCTTCGCTGCCATTTTTTTCTGTTTCTGTAACTCGTTGACCAATCGGAGAGTGTTTTAACCTTCTGAGAAGAGTGGAGAATTGTCACTCTCATCTCAGCCCGGCTTTTCGTGAGTTCGTCTTGAATTGTCTTTGTCTGACCCGTTCTTCGTCGATTAGTGAGCTGTGTAAGAAACAACTTAAGTTTTCGAATATTTATCCGCCCTCAGGAAAATTACGTCACAAATGAACAAAATGTTGATTCAAACTGAACACTATGGCTTCCTTGTACTAGTTCCTATAGATAAGTAGTTGCTTTTTTCCGGGTAAATAGAATTACATGACCATCGGTTTTCGTGGTTGTACGCCCAAATTGTTGTACGCCCAGGCCTCCAGTTCCTAAGGGTTCTTGATGTTCTCAGGAATTTCATTAATTTCTTGAATTTGGTTAATGTATGATATAATATATTTTCACCTAGCTCCTATTCATATTTTAGAAAGTATTTCTTTTGTCAATATGGGCAAATTTGAGTTTTGAGTGGAAAAAATATGAAATTCGCACACACGTGTTCTCAAAAATAATAAAATCAAGAGATTTTTGCACGCAGGAGACGAGAGAGGAGAGAATAAAGCAGTATTTTGAGGAAGAAGAACATTATCCAGTGTTGGGCCTGAAGGAAGGTTCCATCTTGGAAGTGGACGGAGACAAAGCCTTCATCAGAGGACTGTCTCAGCCAGCCAAGTTGTTCACCAAGTATGTTATATTGGAACGGAACACCGAACAATACAATGACTTGCTTATTAAAAATGTAGTATTTAAAAATTTGAAAAAAATTTCTATTGAATAATGAAGTAGACATCCCTTCTACATTATGGACTAGCTCATGTCACAAATTTTTTTATAAAAAAAGAATATAGTTGAATTAGATTGTCCCAGAGTGTGTTAATGTGTAAAGTTCGGTTTTCCACCTTATTTTTTGTTACTGAGGTAGTAAACGTCACATAAAACTATATCTTACAATAATTAAGTTTGTGTGTTATTACAGTGGGAGTCGCATCCAAAATATTTTAGTCGTCACAAAATGACAAATGTAGACAAAATATAATATCCAATTTTTATGTGTAAAGTGTCTTTTTTTTAACTCAATACTTACTTGACACTCGTATAAATCAGCACTACTTTGCTAACTAGCTGCTAAAAGAACTATTGATCTGTTTGAAAAAGTCATGGAAATGTTCAAACGTCCATTTTTGTTATTATTATTGCTTTATTACCTACCTGTCTTTTCATATATTGATTCCGTTCAGTGGATTAATGGCACCGACAATACACATTTAATTTACTGGGTGTTCCTTAAGTTAGCACAAAAACTTTAGAAATAGGTTTATGGGTTAAAATAAAAATAAGATTAAGAAAACCAAGATAATTCGCTTTCGTATAAAAAACACGTTTTATCTTGAAACTATTGAATAGGTATATTACTATAACTATTGCATTGTTGAAACGACTATTACAAAATAATAAACATGATGGTGTTGGCAGAAGGATTGAGGGTTCTTGTGTGCATGTGAGAATCCCGCTTACCATTCTAATTGACATGATCTACAAGCTAAGGAACTCAACTGTATTTAAAGTATTTAAACATGGTAAAAGAGGTGTTAAAAACATTTATGAGCATCATGGATTGATTTATTTATATTTCTGTGTTATTATTTTCAAGGGATAACAAACCTCAAGAATACCCTGTTGGAGCAGATGTCAGCTTCCTGTTAAAAGGTGTGAAAAACTAATTTTGTGAAAAATATCAAATCTAATGTAACGGGACTCAAACTTTAATATTTATGGGTTGTTTATAAGGTAAGATTAAATTGAGATACTGTTTTCATGGTGCACTTTTAATAAGCACATACCAAAAGTGTATTCATAATAAACCTATAAGTAAGCATATAGAAATGTAATAAATAAAATGTCCGAATATACATTTGATGAAGATTTCCTTTAACCTTTTGAACCCAAAATGTAGCTGATATATTTGTTATGTTATAAGGAGTATCATAGAATCAAGAATCAAGATCTTTATTGTCATTGACCTTTACAAGGAATAGACATAGTCAACAATAGAAATAAAAACTAAAGCTATAAAATATAGTGGGTTCTAAATCAAAAATTAATATTAACATCAGAAACTAAGTACTCTGTTATACAGTAATATGGATTTTGGATGAGCCACTCAAACATTTTAGACTTAAACCTATTAAAAGAAACCTGTTTTGCTGCCAGACCTAATTTATTAAAAAACCGTATGCAATTTATTTTATGGCAGTTATCTGTTTTGGCCAATCTATGAGCAGGGATATCTAGATTGGATTTGCCTCTTGTATTGTTAGAGTGTATACTCTCTCTACAAGTGAATTGATGAAGATTGGCTTTAGTGTAGAGGAGTATGTGAAAAATATACAAATTTACAACGGTCATAATTTTAAGGTCTATAAAAAGAAGTCGACAGCTATCCACAGGGCCAGCCCCACAGATTGTTCGTATGACTTTTTTTTTGTAGTAAAAGAATTTCATGGGTGTGGGGGGAGTGTCCCCATAGTATAATCCCGTAAGAAATATGAGATTGAAAAAACCCAAAATAAGTAATCCGAAGGTATTCATTAAACTAACAAAATCTCTGAGTTTCCAAATTAGATAATTTACTCTGGAAATTTTTTTACAAAGTGATTTCTATGTGCTCTTGCCAATTTAATTTTGAATCAATTTGGAATCCTAATAATTTTACAGATTTTAATTCATTGTCAAGTGGGGATAGACTCAAAAGAATTTTCTGTGTTTTTTCTTGATTACACGTCAATTTATTTGAAGAAAACCAATTTAGAGCTGACATTATTGATTTATTAGTAATTAAATCAAGCTCATGGATATCTCTATTTGTTGCAATCAAAGTTGTGTCATCAGCATATACAACAGTGTCTACATCAACATTCCTCGGCAGGTCATTTATGGAGATTAAAAACAAGAAGGGTCCCAAAACCGAGCCCTGTGGAACACCTACTTCATCTAATCTTAAGTTAGACTGACTGCCTCCAACAGATACATACTACTTTCTATTAGTTAAATAGGATTTTAAAATTTTTAATTAAAAAAAATCATAATCATAGTTTCTCTAAAGTATCTGCCTGAGTAAGCCTACAACTGACATTAAACTAAAGAAAGCTATACAACCAAAGTGCTGAAACTTTAAAATGTAATACTAATACAGTAGCCAAAGTAGATGTAAACAACAAAAGCTAATTTATGAAGGCAAACCATGTACACATTTTTTTTTTCAATGAGATTTTTTTTTAGAATGGCGCAAATCATTTTTTGACACAATCAGTGTGATCTTCATGAGTGTCTTTTTAAATTTAATGTAAATAATGTTCTTGCTAGGACAACATTTTCTCACATTATATTGGCAGTTAAACACAAGCACGGTAACCTACGTTTCTCCCCAACTGTGTATGACTTTCCAAAATATTTTATTAAAATGTGTAAAAGTTTTGGGCAAACATAGGGAGATTGGTTTACCTTGTGAAATCCAGCTGTCGACAGGAGACTGAGAGGAGAAAAATTGTCAACCTCTAAGAACGAGAGTAGCCCCTTTCTCATGTTAATAGAGAAGAGAAGAGAAGAGAAGAGATGAGAGTTGACATTTAGTGGCAAGATGAAGGAGTAATCAAGACAAACATTGACATATTAAATGTTATATTAGTTAAATAAAGGAAGTTGACAATATTATTAACTTGAATCTTCATCATCTTTCTTCAAACTACCAAACACCTCAGAAGGAATAGTTTGTTTTTCCACAGGGACATCATCTGAAAAATGAATGTCAAAAGGGTTGTCGTTGTCAATATTTTTTCCAAACAATTTAAAACTTATCATTTTATATCAGTTTGTTTTGTTCTTATACTTCTTTGATTTATTACTTGTCAATATATGTATCAAATATATTTGACTGAAATACAGGTGGCACTGGAGAGAAGAAGAAACATTATGATTCAGTCAGTTTTATTTAGTCATTGACAGTGATAAGGCAGTGCTGGTCAGCCTCTACAGTTTTAATCAGTTGTATACATTTTTATTCCATTTTAATTATTTTATCAACATGACAAGTTTTAATTATTGTGAATGTGACAGTCTCTAATCTATTGATGTCTCTCCACAAATTATTATTACATTGATGATGTGGTTGCATACAAAAGGACCTGATGAGGTTCTAAGGAACAAAACTAGTCATCAGACCAACATCTGTGGTTGAATAACGTAATCATTTTATTTTATCAATTGTTATTTTGATTGTGTCTTAAAAAACACTGTATTATCTTTGACTAGGGATAGAACTCTGTATTACATACCTATGAAGAGTTGTTGCCAGTTTTATAATAAAAACTAACATAGTAGAATTGAGCCATAGATAGAGTGTGCTTATCTAAATAACTGATTTCTGCCAAACAGAATAGGAACTCATATTGTAAACTACAGAAACTTATATGTCACTATCGAAGCAACCAAAATTATTAGAAAAAAGTAGAATATTATAGTGTAGCACTCTCTGAGTGGCACATATACTGTGTTCTTTTTCAGATTTCAAATAATTGGCTACAACTAGTCCAGATATGTGGGATATCTACAAGTCAATACGAATACACATTCTTTGTACAGTAGCACACCTCATATCCGACGTTGGCATATCCGACTCCTCGGAATATCCGACCTAGTGTCGGACCGTCTACTAGGGTGATAACGCTGATCACGTTCGGATACCCAAAAGGCCAATGGGGATGTTGCCGCGGTCTCGGTAGACAATTACGGCCGGTTTCGCCGAGACTGCACGACATGTTCTGTTGATGGTTGTTGCCACGGTCGCGATAGACAATTTTACCGATGTCGCTGAGACTATAAGATGTGCTCACGGGTGTTGCCGTGGTCGTGAGACAATAACCAAAGTCATGGAGACTGCAGGCTATGCTCCTCCTGATATCCGAAACTTTCGCAGTTCCAACCTTGGCCCGGTCCTGTGGTCGGATATGGGGGGTTATACTGTGATCAATTCAACCAGAATTACCTTCTTCCTCGGACGAATCGTTGACGTCGTGGTCATCCTCATCAATGTTGATCTCGTCAGGGTTGAGGACCCTAGTGGTGTCCGTCCCATCACGATCCTGGCCCTGCGTCTCTCCCCGTACAAAGAGAATGTTTCCACCCTTCACTTGTGCTGTAACACACGATAACGATAATAACACGTGTAAATCCAGGGAATAAGTGTAAAATATAATGTAATGTATATCGCCTAAAATACTAAAATATGCTGTAAATCAAATTTACTAGCAAATAATGTCCATCAAATTAATTATTATCTTTTTTAGTGATTCATTGCAAACAAAATCACACACGAGAACAAAATCCACTAGCTAAGAAACATGTCATGACTACTATTGAAAAAAAAAAAAACACAACACAGTAGAACTCTAAATTCCAAACTCCAACTATCTGAATCTAGATGATTGTTTGAATCGTTTACAGAACAAATTATAAAAACTCAATTTCACTGAAATAAGATGCAAAAAATATAAAATCGTCCTTGTCTTCTGTGATCACAACAAAGTCCTGAACATCTCCTTGGTCTTGTTCCTGTAGACATCATCATTGTCTCCTACATTCAAGAAAATGTCATCATCGTCCTCCTCCAGTAAAAGTGTGAATTTCTTGATTGCGAAATCTATGCAGATTCGCTCTGCTATTGGGATAGTAAAAGCTTTGATTTTTTACTTGGTGATCAAACATTAAAGCTTTTAGGCTAGGCTAGGCACAACAATTTCTAAAATCCAATTTATAGTCTTTATGTTATGTAAAAATCAACTATCCAATTGTCTATCTATATCAACCGAATGTGGTACGGTACCAATTGTTTTGGAAGATCGAAATTCTGCTGTTAAAATATTTATATTATATTATGTAGTTATTATCCAACTAGTGTGAGAATGAACTGACTGTGAGTACATTTACCTGTCCTATCCTCAGCGGCCATCTCAGCAGCCTTAGCCTCCAGCATACGCATTCCATCTTTGGCACCAGGAGCCAGGTCTGCCACTGTGCCAGACACATTGCTGGCAGCCGACAACATTTGAGCTGACATCATGTTCACCTGCAAACCGATAATTTATTAGATATGTAGCCTAATAAATAGTCTTGACACCACGGGGCAGGTCTGCCACTATGCCAAAAACATTGCTGGCAGCCGACATTATCTACAGGGAAATCATGTTCACCTGCAAAAAGATTATTTAAAAGTAATTTAGATTTAACATCAATCGTTTATCTGACTGAACATAATGCCTGTCTTTTAATAAGGTCACCAGTGCGATAAAAGTGGATCTTTCCAAGAGGACGGCTGCTACTATTCAAATTAGCCCAATACAAAAAAAGTACCATCACAAGGATCTAACAAAGGACTATAATTTTTTACTCATTTCAACGTGACAAATCCAATGACCTATGCACAACTATGCTAATATATGTTTAGTATATTTAGCCATCCCATTACTAGCATGATAGACTTACCTGAGTATTGTATGTAGCCTGTACACTGCGTTTTATCCTGAGCATCTCTCTCATCGTGTCTTCATTCCCGTGACGAACCTCAAACTCTTTCCACGTCTGCCAGAAATCAGCTGTCACCTGTAGTGACAAAGTATGAGTATATAGTGTGTGAATGAACCGTCTTCAGCAGCCATCTCAGCATTAAATTCATGTCAATCGGGTTGTAGAAATCTTGTGTAGAGCATATTTGTGTTTTTAATATTTTGCACTTTGGGTGGGTTTGTGTATACCTGTTGTTAAGATCAGATACCAGATCCCAAAACTTTGTAAATATCTGTTTTTTTACGGATTGTGATGGAAAATATTCCAAATAAACTCAAAATA